GTGTAGTGTAGTGTAGTGTAGTGTATGTATGTATGCATGTATGTATGTATGTATGTATGTATGTATGTATGTATACATATATACATATATTCACAACTGTTTCATAGGACATATCATATATATATATATACATACATATCTAAGGTAGGTATAAAGTTGTATGAAACTACATACCTACCTACCTACCTACCTACCTACCTACCTACCTACCTACCTACCTACCTACCTACCTACCTACCTACCTACATGTAAGGTTTCTGGTGAGCATAGGCGGGGCTCCTTGTGACTAGTTAGCGGATTAGGGCTCATGAATATCAAAAGCCTAACCCGGCCAAGGTTGCACGCTGCTGCGGCGTGCTTCGGCACAGTTTGAAAGTGTTCGAGGGTGAGATCTTTTGGTGTTACCAGAGGGATCTCAATGTTTAGAACTTAGAACTGGGATGTTGCGGTATGGTGCAGTACAGTCTAGTCTAGTCTTTTCGAATTTTCGGACCATGAACCCCAAGGAATAACGAGCAATGTTAGTATTTATTTATGCCTGTCGGCTTCGATATGACAGTTTCTGTACGGACTACCATAGAGCGGTTATCGTACATCGGCAGGGTAGAGTCTGGAGATTTATGTTGAAGCAACCCTGCAGATGTTGGATCCCATGACTCTGGTTGATGGCAAGTCCTCCAGAGCAAGGCTGGAACCTACCCTACCCCCCCCCCACACCCAATCTTACCCTGTTATTAGAAGGACGTATAAGGAGCCCTAAACCCTAAACCCTAAACCCTGAACCCTAATTGAAAATTTCGGTTCTTTGTGGTTGAGGTAACCTTGTAGGCCGAAGGCTAGACCCTGAACCGAAAACCTGAAGACTCGTGCCTGAAGCCTTACTTGGAGGTTCATGGGTAGTTATAAGTAGAGTTATAGGTAGATTTCCTAAACCCTAAACCCTAAACCCTAAAATGGGTAGTTATAAGTAGAGTTATACGTCCCCTAATATGGGTTATAACCATAGTTACACTACTTATAACCCCACTTGTAGCTGCCCAAAGAAGCCCAGGTCCCCCCAGGCCCTCGAGCAGAGATCTCTTTCAGAATTAGGCCGAGTGGGCAGGGTTTAGGGTTTAGGGTTTAGGGTTTAGGGTTTAGGGTTGCGTAGGTGCCCTCACCTTGCGGCCTTAAATCCGAAGCCCAGAGCCCTAACCCTTAACCCCCCAAAGCCTGAAGCCTTCAATCCGAAGCCCAAACCCCTAACCCTAAATCCCCCAAAGCCTGAAGCCTTCAATCCGAAGCCCAACAACCCTCAGCCCTGAAGCTTCAACCCTAGACCTATCAAGGCCGGGATCCCAGACCACACCTTTAAGGGGACCTTATTCTTGCACCTTCAGGGTTTAGGGTTTAGGGTTTAGGGTGATTCAGTCCCCTTAAGGGTTCCTCTCAAGGGCTCTTTTTAAAGGGGACCCGATTATAGAACCCTATCCCCTGAAATTCAAACCCTGAACCCCAAAGCCCCAAACCTAAGCCCTAAAGGGTTGCCTACTCTACTAAGACTTAGTAGTAGAGTAGGTAACCTTTAACTGTTTTGGGGTACCGTAATTCCTACAGGCCCTAAACCCTTAGCCCTAAACCCTAAGCCCTAAACCCTAAACCCTAATAGACCCATATAGTCCCAGAGGGGAACCTTTCGTTACCCTAGGATATTGATCCAGTACGATGTGCGACTGACTGCCGCACTCAGGTGCTCTAAAAGCTCTCAGCTCTTATGGTGTAGGGTTTAGGGTTTAGGGTTTATAGGGTTTAGGGCTTTACTAAGCCTCATGATCCTCTATTCTGTAATCCCGAAATGCAAGAAGGTGCGGGAGCGTTTGCCTCATCGATTTCTTGATCAGTAGCGGCCTCATTCCTCTTGTTCTTGGGGGCTTCAGGGTTCCTTTAAAGGGTTATGTGAAGGTTTAGGGTTTAGGGTTTAGGGTTTAGGGTTTAGGGTTTAGGGTTTAGAGGGTTCCCTAAACCCTAAACCCTAAACCCTAAACCCTTAAGGGGTCCTTCGCTGGCCAGATTTGAGCTCACGTACGTCGCATTGATATGGGGTTTCCGAAAATTAGGGTTACCTTATTTTGGGGTCCTTATAATAAGGATCCTATTATTTAGGGTACTATATCAGGGTCCCCTATTTTCGGAAACTCCCATATGTGACGATTCAAGTGTCCAACCTTCTCTACCACATCTCTTGTTGGGCAACGGGCGGTGGATGAAAAAGAGGACTCTGACTGCCTGCTCTAGCCGCAAATCTGCGGGTCAAGATTTCTTAAGCGGTATGGAATGCAAAAACGAGCATCTGTTCACCTGGGTAGTTCTCTAAATTAGGGTCCTTTGTTCGGTCACCAATACAGTACGGCACCCCACAGGGGACCCTAATTTAGAGAACTACCCACATACAGAAGGTGGCTTTCGCAAGAAGCTCAGCGACTGCAGCTTCCCTTGGCGCCATTGCCAGCGGGGTTAACGTGGCTCCTCCAACCTTTGGATGTCTCCTTTTTCTGCTATGAAGCAACATTAACGAGAGCATTACAATCGCAAATTAGGAGTATCTTTAAGGATTTAGGGTTTGGGGTTTAGGGCTTAGGAACCGCATGCCTGTCAAAATACATGTAAAGTTTAAAAAGGAGATCCCAGCAATGGTCATTGTTGTCCTATGTCCCAACTTTTCGGGTTTGCTTCATGTGGTTTGCGTTTGGTATTTGACTTAGCCTTTGAAGGAAAGATAGAGGAGAGTCGCAGGGGTGGGCAATCACAAGAACCAAGCTAAGTAGCTTCCAAAACTTCTATTTGGGATCTCCAACATTTCGAGACCCTCATGGTCTTATACTTATTCTGGGTTGTTGGTGAGTACTTCCAAGAGACTCCGGCACCCTTTAATTAAGGCATATTACCATTAAACCATAATCGGAGCCCTAGTATGATTTAAGGTATAGTCTTTAATTCTACATGTACCCTTATAGAAACCCTTGTGGATCCCGTTAGGGTATATTCCTTGAGTAAGAGGTTTGGGGGAGTTTCTGGGTTGTTTTGGTTGCTCGTGGATTTGAGGTACTGTAGCGCCCTTAGTGGTTTAGTGTTTTGGGGGTTCCTTATTATAAATACAAGTATGATAAGCCCCAAAACACTTTTCTAAGTATTAAGGCCCCTACATTAGGGCTTGGGAGGTTTCGCCGCCTTTTGTTGTATGGCTGAGTAGGTGACCTTAACCGTCTGGGGTTCATGCTAGGAGGTTCACGGGTAGTTTTACCTCTTAATATGGGTTATAATTTTCAGTCCCTGCTTATAGCCGCACTTGTAACTACCCATGAATCTCCAAGTAACCCTATAAACCCTATCTTCCCCTGAACCCTAAACCCTAAACCCTAAACCCTAAACCCCATCTTCATTCCGTGTGTCATCAGGAGGCCAATCCTTATCAGGCCCTGATGCGGCGCATTTAAGGGCCCCTACGCCCCCCTCCCCCCCCCCTCTCTCCCTTACCACCGACAAGTTCTGATGATCATAACATACGCGCCTTAACACTTAGAATAGGGTTTTGTGGTAGTTTATACCAGAACTATCATAAGGAACCGCCAGAAGACCCAATTCTAATTGTTAATGCCCCTACAATATACAGCGACTCCACGTCTTCGTTCTATGGGTACTTGGGAAGCCTTCGGGAAAGAAGACCCCAGGTCAGGGTCATGCCGGCGTCGACGGTCGCAGCCGTCAGAAGCGACTGAAGGCCTGGGGGTGGTTTAGGGGTTTAGGGTTTAGGGTTTATGGGTTAAGGGTTTAGGGTTTAAGGCCCTGGGTGAGTGAGACAGGTTTGATCTAGGGTTTGGGGTTTAGGACCTACGATTGAATCCAAGCTACCCAAGAGCAATGGTCTTTGCACAACCCCGAACCCTAAACCCTCCACCCCCAGCCCCAAACCCTAAGCCCTAAACCTGGAACCTTAAAACCTCAAACCCTAAACCCTGAACCCTAAACCCCAAACCCTAAAGCCTAAGCCCTCACAAGAGTATATGATAACTTCTTACCTCAGACAGCTTGGGCCCGGCAGGATCGAGAGAGCAGCATCCGTTGTTGATTTGAAGAAACGAAGACTATTGGTAACAATAGAAATAGCAGACCA